CCTTGTTCTGTTCGAATGACTGCCTCTTGGTCTATGTACAGGTTCCACATGAGCACAATTAAGTGTTCTGGAATTCTCATTCTTCACAATATTATCCATAATTGGTTATGATCCACAAAGTCAAATGCTTTGCATAGTCAATAAAACACAGGTAAACATCTTCCTGGTAGTCTCTGCTTTCAGCTGAGATCCATCTGATATTAGCAATGATATCCCTCATTCCATGTCCTCTTCTGAATCCAGCTTGAATTTCCAGCAATTCCCTGTTGATGAATGGCTGCAACCGTTTTTGAATGATCTTCAGCAAAATTTTACTTGTGTTATTAATGATATTGTTCAATAATTTCCACATTCTGTTGGATCATCCTTCTTTGGAATGGGCACAAATATGGATCTCTTCCAGTCGGTTGGCCAAGTAGCTGTCTTCCAAATTTCTTGGCATAGATGAATGAGCACTTCCAGTGTTGTATGTGTTTGCTGAAACATCTCAGTTGATATTCCATCAATTCCTGGAGCCTTCTTTTTCATCAATGTCTTCAGTGCAGCTTTGACTTCTTCCTTCAGTACCATCAGTTCTTGATCATATGCTACCTCCTGAAATGGCTGAACATCAACCAATTCTTTTTGGTATAGTGACTCTTGTGTATTCCTTCTATCTTCTTTTGATGCTTCCTGCGTCATTCAATATTTTGCCCATGAAATGCTTCAATATTGCAACTTGAGGCTTGAATCTTTTCTTCAGTTCTTGCAGCTTGAGAAATTCCGAGTGTGTTCTTCCCTTTTGTTTTCTAGCTCTAGGTCTTTGCACATGTCAATATAATACTTTACTTTGTCTTCTTGAGTCGCCCTTTGAAATCTTCTCTTCACTATCTTACTTCATCACTTCTTCCTTTTGGTTTAGCTATTCTACATTCAGGGGCAATTTTCAGAGTCTCTTCTGACATCCATTTTGGTCTTTTCTTTCTTTCTCGTCTTTTTAACAACCTTTTGCTGTCTTCATTTATGATGTCCTTGAAGTCATCCCACAACTTGTCTGGTCTTCGGTTATTAGTTCGATTTGTCAAATCTATTCTTGAGATGGTCTCTAAATTCAGGTGGGATATACTCAAGGTCGTACTTTGGCTCTCGTGGACTTGTTTTAACTTTCTTCAGCTTCAACTTGAATTTGTATATGAGCAATTGATTGTCTCGCAGTCGGCCCATGGCCTTGTTCTGACTGATGATATCGAGCTTCTCCATCGTCTCTTTCCACAGATGTAGTCAATTTGATTCCTGTGTATTCCATCTGGTGAGGTCCACGTGTATAGTTGACATTTATGTTATTGAAAAAAGGCATTTGCAATTTTGCATTGGTCTTGTAAAATTCTATCATGTGATATCTGGCATTGTTTCTATCACCAAGGCCATATTTTCCAACTCCTGTTTCTTGTTTCCAAATTTCACATTCTAATCACCAGTAATTATCAATACAGTAATCCCCCCCTTATCCTCGGGGGATACATTTCAAAGCCCCCGTGGATGCCTGAAACCATGGAGAGCACCAAACCCTATATATACTATGTTCTGTCCTATACATACATACCTATGATAAAGTTTAATTTATAAATTAGGCACAGTAAGAGATTAACAACAATAACAATAAAACAGTGCAACTATTAACAATACACTGTAATAAAAGTTATGTGAATAATGGAGTGGGATGGTGCGAGATTTCAGTATACATAAATACATTTCCCAGCACTGTCCACTGAGACGGCCTAGAAGCAGTGACACCCCAGTAGCAACAAGCACATCCAGCAGCCAGATTTTGGTTTCTAATTACTATTCTCTAATAAAAAGAAACAGGGCTTCTGGAAGGGGAGGGGGGGTTAGAAAAGATATTATACCAGGCAGCGTTTCATACACAGGGTCGCTATGAGTCAAAACCAACTCGATGGCACCTAACAACAACATATGTTACAAACAAGAGCCCTCGTGGCGCACTGGTTAGTTAAGTGCTCAGCTGCTAACTGAAAGGTCAGTGGTTCATGGGAGAAAAATGTGGCAGTCTGCTACGTACAGATTTACAGCCTTAGAAACCTTGTGGGGCAGTTCTACTATGTCCTATAGGGTCGCTGTGAGTCAGGATCAACTAGAGGGCAATGGGTTTATATTACAAACAGCTAAGGGGGGCAAAAACAGAAAAAGAGAAAACAGTAAAAGGCAGCATGAAGGGGAAAGAAGAGAGAGTAACAGGCAGAAAAGCAGAACAAGAGTCAGACAAAAACAAGAGAAGACATATGCAGAGAGCAACCACGAAGGGCAAGGCCAGCTAGAAATGCAAAAGCTGGGAAGTGGGAGGTTTCAAATGCAGGGTTAGGGCCCTAGGCAATAGGCTCAGCTTTCACCTTTAATCTACATTAAATGCTAATAAATGTGTTGTTCAATAATTGAAGAGCTGTGTTCCACTTGAGCAGTTAAAAATGCAACTGGATCATAACAGAGCAGTTTCAGTGAAGTTACACAAAAGGCATTTAAAAAGCAATGTCATGAACAAACACAGCAGAATCTGCCCATTGAAATGAGCATAACCCTTTACCAGCAAAAAAGGAAATGGGATTTGGAGCATGACCAACCTGGGTCCAAATCCCAGTTTCACCAATAGGCAGCCCTATGACTTCAGGCAAGTTACTTCACTCCTCTGAGCCTCTTTCCTTATCTACTATGTGGAAATGATATTGCCTCTCTCACTGGGCAGTTCTGAGGACTAAATGAGACTCTATCTATGGGAAAGACTAGCCCAGCCCCAGGTACAGAGCAGTTACCCAGGACATGCTGTTTTTCCTTTCCTCTTATTCTAGTAATGCACCATTACTTAATGTGGTTTTGTGACACATTTTTTGAAGTTGTTGGCTAGGTGAAGAAGGGGAAAGTGTTCCAGGTGGAAGGAAGAACACATGCCCAGGTAGAGAGGGGCAATGGAAAACAGGTCTTCCAAAGACTGCTAAAGCCCAGGGGTTGAGTGTCAGGATTATGGAGGGAGGATGAGAAGCGGTCAGAAAAAGACTGGGGAGGAAGCCAAGGGCAGGGTCACTCTTTGCCAACACCACAACTTAAAGGCATCAATTCTTCTCTGGTCTTCCTTAGTCACTGCCCAGCGTTCACATGCATGAGGCAACTGAAAACACCCTGGCCTGGGTCAGGTGCACCTTAGTCCTTAAGCTGACATCTTTGCTTTTTAAACAACTTGAAAGGGGTCTTTTGCAGAAGATTGGCCCAGTGCAATGTGTCCTTTGATTCCCAGGCTGCTGCCAAATATCACATGCCTTATATTCCATGTATCAAAATGTTTCCTCAGCCCTTTTCTTTTTATACACCGTAAATTTTAGACTTCTTGGGACTGCTCTTTTCTCTAGATGTAACAGAATTCGAGTTCTTTGCCCTGAGAAAATTCGAAAGAAAAGAAGAGGGAAACGCTGTCTTCCCACATAGCTGCAGAAAAGCAGACACCACTGTACATCATAAAGTTATTCCTGACAGGGATGAACTGAGAACTTTCACCAGGTATCGGTCTGAGTCTCCTTTCCAGTGTGGAGACCTCCATTAAAAAGCGTAACTATCCTGTTCTCTATTTAACAAAGCCTTTGTTTAAGACACCCGAGTTTTAGAGTGTTGTTATGCACTGAAGATGTAGCCCTGAATCCCCAAGATATTGCAATTTGACTGGTTGTCTTACTAATCAGTGATTTTTATTAAAAAAAACTTCTGTTTAGTTAAATCTTAGGGCCACATTCAACCTCAAGAGAAGCCCCTGTACTCTGCTTCCCCGTTCCCCCTGAAGGATGAAGAAACCCAAGACTCATTCAATTCCTTATTCACACAGAGGGTTGACGGTCCATTTCACTTAAGTTAACCCAGGCCAAGGGGGAAGGGAGGAAAGTAGCGGGCAGAGGAAGCTGGCCCGTGAGTGCGCCGCCAGGGAGGGAGGACAGACCAGTCCCCGCCTGGAACCTGACAGCAGAAACCGCCAGGAGGTAGGAGCCCTGCCGAGCGCCACTCTGGAGGTGGCCGGGCCTCAGTTTCCTCACTACTATCATCTATCTCCACTGAAGCTCCATAAAGTTCCCATTATACAGACCTGGTTACCACAAGAAGTTTTTTGTGCTGTTTTTGTTTTAACAACATTGTCCTCTTACACCACAAAGTCTTATAGACATCAAGACAGCTGAACAAGATTTCAGCCTTAGGCTCTTTTGCCTTTTTTGTTGTTGGAGGGAAGGTGGGAGGCTGTGAGGTATTTCCCAGCATTGTTGGAGGGAAGGTGGGGGATCGTGAGGTATTTCCCAGTGTTGTTGGGAGGAAGGTGGGGGCTGTGAGGTATTTCCTAGAGTTGCTGGGGGAAGGTTGGAGGGGCTGTGTTTCCCAGTGTTGTTGGAGGGAAGGTGGGGGTTTGTGAGGTATTTCCCAGTGTTGCTGGAGTGAAGGTGGGGGGGCTGTGAGGTATTTCCCAGTGTTGTTGGTGGGGGAAGGTGGGTGCTGTGAGGTGTTCCCCAGCGTTGTTTCAGGGGGAAGCTGGGGGCTGTGAGGTGTTCCCCAGCGTTGTTTCAGGGGGAAG